ATCTGAAGAAGGAAAATTTACTCCAAAATCATGCCGAAATCCATCGAATCGATCGACGTGCTGAAGGTGAGATGGTGAGAATGAAGGAGGATCGGATGAAACCAATTTTGTTCAATTTATTATTTATTTCGGCTAAAGATGCTGTATGTCACGCGTTTGAGCATGATTGCGGTACGATGGTGCGATGCTCTATTCTGGACCGGGCTACTAGACGTGGCAAAACTAGTCATTATACCTGCTACGTGTACCTTGTTACCTGAAGACGAGGAGGGAATCTTCGGATTCATGGAGGAGGACATCAGAAATGAGGAAGCTCGTATCCGAGGACAAAAGTGTTACATCTGCAAGGAACGGTATGCAAACGTTTGGTGTTGCGCGAAGAAGTGCTTCCGTTCATTCCATACGCTTTGTGGGATGCAGAATGAGTGCCTGTAGCATTACGTGGAAACGTTCCAGTCGTGGTGCGATAAGCACGTAGCGCTGGTGGATAAGGTGAAACACTCCGAGACCGAAGCCTGTGGGATTTGCTACGATGATATGGGACCGTACAGGAAGCTGGAATCGATTCGTGACCCGTGCTGTCAGAATGGCTGGTTCCATCGGAGCTACGTGGCACAGTTTGCCCAATCGGCGAGGTACTTTTTCAATTGCCCTTTGTGCAACAAGGACGACTTTAGTCTGCAGATCCATCAGCGTGGCATTTATATTCCGGAAAATTAAGCGAAGCGGCGGAGGTGGGTGAATCGGTATTTGAATACTGAATATTTTATTTTAATTGTTCGAGGGATGCCTCGTGGGAGCTGGAACCGAATGTATTCAACGATCAGTTGGAACGTCTTTCGGAGTGTGACGCTGAAGAGTGTCGCTGTCGGTATGGGCGAGATTACGACGATTGCAAGCGTTGGGATCTGATCCTTTGTGCAACGTGCGGTTCGACTTGTCGCCAAGATCAGTGCATGGAGGTTCCCTCGAAGAACTATGTTTTCACCTTTTGTAGTCCGATTGTCCGAAAGACGCCGGAAGCGGTTTTGAAGCTAGCCGAGGCTTCCCGAAGAGTGGAAGCAGCAAGATGGGGGAAGCCGGTAACGATAGCAGAGAGGGGAGTTCTAGGGGCCGATCTAGTGGCAGACGTCAGATTGAATCGGATGATTCAGATTCTGAAGAGTCAGTTGCATTGACGACCAAACGCAAATCTCAGAAAAGACGAACCGCAATAGACAGTGACGACAGCGATTCCGATCTGGTTTCTACACGAAAGAAACCAACGTCGAAATGACGGCTGTCCACGTCTTCATCTAGTTCTTCCTCGTTCGTTTCTTCGAAGCGAAGAAATCAGTCTGGAGGAACTGGTCAAGAAGATTCCACTGCCACGTGGAACTTCCGTCGAAAAATTACTTCGAGTCAAACCGGTCGTAAGGCTCGAGAAGCTCAGCTCGGAAAAGATCAAATCGTTGACTTCTTCGGAGAATGAAGACGAAGCATCCTCCGCCGGATCGTCGACCGTGTTCGATTTCAACTATCGTGTGAAGTTAAACAAAAAGCAGGGCCGAAAATCGATGGTAGAATTGCAGCCGATCAAACAGGTCATCCGCTCCGACACGAACACGCTAACGGATGCCTCGGTGGAGATCGTGCGTCCCAAGACGCCTGCCCAGAAATCTTTTGGAAAGCAGTTCAAACTGAAGCTTTTTGGGTCGAAAACCGTCCCACGAAAACGTTCCACCAGCGAGTCTGATCCGGAGTACGTTACAGCGAAGAAAAGTTGATTTAATTTTAATGACGAACTTGCAGAATTTTCCAGCACTAGTGCACTAAGCAGGTCTTTCCCACGGCGCAATAGATTACTGCCAACGATGCCACCTCAAGCGGAAATGCGATTCGAGACCGGGTTGACGTTGATGCTCAAAAGCGAGAAAATGTTCCGGATTTCTCTACCCATGCGAATGTCAGCTGGTATCACACTGCTTACAGGTACTGAGGGAGAACCTTCCAAAACTTCTAGTGTTTGGACTGGTGGTATGGCACAAAGAATGCACAATGCACCACGAACCGACGGAGAATCGTATGTGCTGTGATCAATGTGATTGGTGAGGCAGAAGGAAACAAGCCAGCACTTGCATTATCACGACGTTCTTATGCATAATCTAGTGTGACGAAACGTTGGATCATGCATAAGAACACCGTGAGAACGACAGAGTCGACTACATTCCTTCTGCCGCACCTATAGTAACGCACACGGCTCCCGCGCTGACTGTTCCTTACTTTCTCACTCTAATCCAAATTTCCTTCGATGAGTGAGAAAACAGCACCCCGTCAACACGAGCAAGGACACGAGTTGCCAGATCATTGCACACAAAACCAACTTGAATTAATTCAAAACAAAAATACTAGCGAACCTGGCGGTGAGGGGCGGAAGGTGGACTAAAATTCTATTACAGAGAACCACATTATTTTAATTCATTTCTTCGGAGAAAGTCGTCTGTAACTTCGTTTGTGCTTTAAGCTAGTACATATGAGTAGATAGTGTTGCCGTGAGGTACACTCGAAAATTTCAAATGTAAGTGCGTCAAACCAAATTTCGAGCCGCTCCGTCTGTCACTTCGTTTGTGATTTGAATTTCAGATATCATCATATCATATCATATCATGTGCGTTCCCAATGAAAACTATATGAAAACTTTTTTCAGTGCATAGGTCCAGCAACGACGTTTCTCTTTTGACCCGCTGATCCGTGTTTATTGTGTGGGGAAATTGAGACAAGTAACATTGAGGTTAAAAGGCTTCAAACGTATTGCCATTGATGTTGTCAATATTCGTATATTGATGATATTGATAGAATTGACTGTTTTTTTTTGTCAATATATTCTGAGTATTGACAAAGTGAAATGAAATTCAGCTTTTCGTCAATACTTGTCATCAATCATCATCATCAATATCACCTTTTCAATAATATTGTCAGTATGTCAATTTATTGTCAATATATTGACATGTGTAATGGGCGCTTCACTCCCTCCAACGGAAAACGCAGTCACGCCCGATTCCACTGTGCGTTTATATAGCTGCCTTTTAATAACTCATGATGACATCAAAATTTCGACAGTGAGCATGCATAAGGGCGAATACGCGATGATCGATTCTCTTCATCGATTTTCTCTTTGCATTGCTACAGCTAGGCGAAACAATTTTCTAGAATTTGTTCAATGCAGAGTAGTAACAGCTTGTATTGGTTATCAAAAGCAACAGCTAACGCACCGAGAAACGTTGAATCTAGCGAGTTATTAACAAAAGAGAAAATCGATGAAGAGAATCGATCATCGCGTATAGGCCCTTATGCATGCTCACTGTCGATTTGATGTATTTTTATTTTGTTTTTTCGGCATGCATGCAATAACATGTTGATAACTAAATTTGTAATCTAAATAAAATATCTATATCAAAATAAGTTATCAAGCAGTTCTCACTAATATCAATATATGTTATAATTTTGATATTCTTCGCATATCTTTTAGCTCTCATTTTTGTTCTGTTAGCCATCAACTCCATCAAAATGAAATCAATTTGAGTTATCAGGAATAATGAAGGCAACATAATTCTTGTTTTCATTTTGTTCTCACCCTCTGCTCGGGAACCTATCAAATTTCCATCGACAATTAATCATGTTATGGTGTTTTTGACAGCATTCACAACCAGAGGACCAACCGCTTTCGGATGCATATGGAGCTGGTAGTAAACGATTTGAGATTGTATGGGGATTTACAGTATTAATTGAATATTTCCAATATAAGCATGTATGTTAAATACAAGAAAAGTGCCCGAGCACATTAAAATGGTACAAATACAAGTACTCGTAAACATTTTACTTGCATTGAAAATGTATTTCGTAAGAAATTGCGGATTTTCTGATATTCTCCATACTGCAAAAATGATTTTACCAGCACTGCCGGGGCGACATCTCTCGACTTTTCGGTGTAACTACCACACAAATGACGTAATTAATTGTATTCATCTATATTAAAAATATCAAATAGTAATGAACTCGTGCACTTTTTTGCATTTAAAACTGCTTATCAGGAAGATAATGAATAGAAACTAAAATCTCCATACATTTTCAAACGGCTTCATATCACTCTTATAAATAAGTACGGACGATATCACAAATGGCGCAATTATATCCCGTATGGTTAGTACGATAGCCCGAATAGGTGGTTAAGCACTTTTTATGGTTATTTTGTATGCACTGTATTTGTAAAACAACAAAACATGATTAATTAAGAAAAAAATCGTCAATACAGAAAATACAGATTTTTTAATAGAGTGGATACAGATTTTTTATAAAACCACCTGGCAGCTCTGCATTTGGCTCAAACCCAACCAGTCCGCTTCTCTCTTATACTAGACCCTCTCTAGTTTAAACGGTTCGAATGAAAACAAAAATATGGGATGATGTACCTTGTTGTTGTACCCGAAAATAGTTTTCATGTAGCTTCCATTGGAAACGCAAATGCCACAATGCTCTGTTTTCTCCGCCGAAGCTGCGGTTATCTTTGTTGCCGTTACAACACCCTCGGACCGGCCCATACTGGTGCTATCCGATTCGTACAGCGTGATACATGCCCTGGATACAGGGTATTGTGGAAGCCACACCTGGCCACCTGGACGATTTTTACTAATTAATTTTTGGCCAGAGCTATAGTTAGTTACTCTTCATAATCTATCGCCAAGTATTGTCATCTCGTCGGTCAGCTCATAGAAAGTAACCATACTTTTTCGTAACACATTCTTTGTAAGCTCAACCGCAGAAAGCAACATGCGCAGTAAAGGAAGCTTAAAACCCAGCACAGTTTTGATGACTCAACTGGGCTTTCTATTTAAAAAAAATTCCGGCGAAACGAGAATGCATACAAACTTTATTAGTCGTGCTCGAGCAGTCCTGCCTCTGAATATTAGATAAGATTCATCTGAAGAATAGAATTGGCTTTAAAAAAAAAATGCGATTGAGTCCCATGATGTAATAATGTTGCTTTGCTGATTATCGATTCAACTTACCGGTAACTAGATCTTTACCAAAATTTCTCAAAATACAAGTATTTTTTTTTCAATTTCGTGACAAAATGTTTCTGCTACATACAGTTGCTTGATCATTCCCGGAACATGTATAACTCTAACTATAATTATTGATCTAAAGAAAACCTATTCACTTTATGTTTGTGAACTTTCTATAACTTTATTGACCACATTACTGTAAAGAAAATCTGGAAATAGGAAAAGAATAGAGCCAATATTCAATGCCTCGGCACCTGAGTAGGATGACTGATGGTTCCACGCTTGTAGTACTTTGCAGTAGCATTGACAATGCTGGACAAATTCAGCGACGGTGCTATGGAATTTTCCTGAGCAGACTGAGGATTTTCCGCCTTCAGCACCGCGGCGCATCTCCAACTTTTTAGATAATTCACTGAAAACAACAAAAATATGTAAAACTTATTCAAAACAGGCAGCAGGGCAGACGTACTTTTCCACATGCGAACGCAACCATCGTCTCCAGTGGAAGCCAGCATCGTTCCGGTAATGTTCCATGTCACGCGCCAAACGGTACAGTAATGGTCTCCAAACTGTGCTACTTGTTGGATATCCAGGCGTGTGTTTGAAGTTGGTTCTCTGTAAAAATTAAATAATTTGTAAGGCTGTCTCAATTTTATAAGTATAATAAGCTACTGTCTTACAACGTCGGTTTCAGGTTGAAAATTTGTACATCCTTACTAGCCACTGCTAGAATGTGGTAACTCCGTCCTACGTTCGGAGCAAAAGCAATATCGTGCACGGGTTCAATGATTGAATTGATGGTTTCGGTTTTTGCCCAACGCCGTGAGTTTTCACTATATTCAAAAATGAACACCTTCCCGCCGGAACTTTGGGAGGAATCGTCACTTCCGGCAGCAATCATTGGAGCGTGTAAGCGGAACATCGATTGGTTCCACGACAGACAACTCAGTGGAATTTTCACCGCAATCTCATGGGATAGTGTCCACTGGGAAAGATTCATTATGTCTGGTGCTTCGTAGATACGAATGATTCCATCGGCAGAACAGGTGGCCAATACCAAACCTTGCGACTTGGGAGCAAACTTCACATCCGTGACGCTGGTTCTCGAATCGACTAGATTAGTACGTCGAACCCAGCGTTTTACCGGTGACATAGTCGGTGAACTTTTTTCGCCAACGGTTTCCTCCCACACTGAGACGGTTCTATCGAAGGAACATGTAGCCAAAACTTGGCCGAATTCGGGATGGGCCCAGGACAGGCGCCAAACCGATCCGGAATGTGCCTTCCAGCTCGCCGTAACACTCCACACGCCGGTATCGCTTTGATCCCAGACCTATGATGGTAAAGAACCAAAATTTGGTATTAGTATGAGTACATGTTCACACATCCAACCGATTGAGCGCTCACCTTCACGTATTGATCACTGGAACAAGTGGCCATCCGCTGCCCATAATAGTCGTATGCCACATCGTGTATCACATCCTTGTGCTCCGTGTGGATGGCTTGATTCTCGAACATTTTGCGGTAATTTAATTCGCTTATTTTATTATATTTTTTGCAAAATTGGTAAACTAAACAAACGCACCCGCTGATCGACCGCCGAAATCGCACACCAGCAATCTCTTTGTTTTGACGTTTCCGAAAACTGTAAACATCATTAATGATCTAGACAAGTTGTTCAACTTTACTTCGGCATTCATTAAGCCCGCTGGGATCAAACGTCATCATTATCATCAATCTTTTTCAATAATGACTACTGACTTTCTTCACGCACTCTTTTGCCAAAAACAGTTCGCTGACATTTCGATCTACTCTCGGGAATCTGGTTGCGGTATCTCGTCCGATGTGCGATTCGCGTTTCTTTTCTGCTGGCTAACGGCATTGTGCAAAATGCGTCTCTAAATATTGTGTCGAACAGAGCTAAACTAGTGTGTTAACGGTTAAGTCCAGTGCGTGGACAGTAAACGGTGAAATTCGAGTGCGGTGGAAATTTTTCCCATTAGATAAGCATTTCTCGCAAGGGTAAAAAGTGACCAAGTGAATCCGATAGTGAAGAAAATCGATCCGTGAAAAGCCATTCGAAGAAAAGGCGCAAGGCGAAAAAATATGGATAAGTGTATGTCAGAGTATTTCTCTTTTTCCCTGGGTGAATTCTTTTGAGCTGGGCAGCTTCGATGCATTCGCGTGACTAAAGATAAAACGACTGGATTACCGGATAGATATTGATAAGCAGCAGCCGTCGCCGGTGCAATCTTCATAGATTGATAACGTGTGTTGGCTGGAAGTGCACCTTTTTTTCTGTGACGGCATCGTTGTCCAATTAATATGGGCTCAGCTTTTTCCACCAATCAGAAGCGATGGTGTGATTCTCGTCATCGTCATCATCAGCAGATCGGACGCGCTCACATTGGTGTGTGTGTTTTGATTGCTCTTCTCGTTCCCTCCCACTACTGTCCGGTAACCACCTGCTCTTTGTGTGTTCGAATCTGTCCATTAACAAACAAAATAATACCGTGATCATCGAAACCGGCAATATCCAATCACATGACGTCGGTTATGTTGATGATGATGCCTGTGCTTATTATTCGTGCTGGAGTCGGCTGATTGATGACGTACTACAACTTCTGCTAGTACAACAGTTACTGTTACTGGTTGTACTAGCCGGCAAGTACTACCGCACGGGATGCACCGTTTCATTTCGGATTTTTGTGTGGTCTGATGCCCGTGCACACCAATACATGCACTTAGACGGGAACACTCATCATTATGTTCGACACATCGGCCGTGCTTTAGGTTGTTTTTCGGTTTCATTTTTTTTTAATTTTATTCGTGGGGCGCATTTCCCTCAAGGTCAACGTTGTGATGTGAACGCTTTCAACTATTATAGGTACTGTAGTATACACTGCACATCCCACCCACACATGGTCGTGTTCAGAATTGAATCGCCTGGGCAAAATTGACCTACAAACGGTCCCAGCAAAAATATGAATCGTCCCAACCCTGGCACCAGCTACTGGTTTATTGGAGAAGCAGATTTTTCTTTTAGGTCCTGTTATCAAAAATAACAAGGGCGACACTAAATTATCCTCGATTAATTTGAAAAAAAAATCGAGCGTGGTTATTTCTGCAGACCTTTGTAAAATGATGGGAATATCGGCGCCTGTGGTGTATTTGTAAGCGTGACTGTCTCTCCAAAGGGCCTGGGTTCAATCCTAGTGGTGCCATCGGGATGTTGTGAAGCATAAAATCTTTGATCACGCTTTTCTTCGGAAGGGAAGTCAAGTCGTTGGTCCCCGGTCCATAAAATCACAGGTCGATAGGTAGAGTTGCCTCCCTGGTGTCGGTAGCATTGGTACTCAGTACGGAAAACAAACTCGATGGAAAGCAAATCAAAGTAAAAACAAAATGATGGGAACATTTTTATGTAAATTGATCACTTTTTCATTTGTTCAATGTGATATATGTTCAGTTTTTTTTTGTTTTGCATGAAAACGGTCAATTTCAAATTATTTTCTTCTGTCATACTAAGATTTCTTTACAGTAAACTGTAATTTTTTACCGGATATGGAACAGCTGAACATTCGGTAATCGTTACGATAACTTATTTTAAATTTATAACTTGCTCAGTAAACGTGCCTAGGCCCGACTACACTGAAAAAAGTTTTCAGTTAGTTTCTATTAGGAACGCACATAATCTTTTTACAATATTAAAAATAATGATTTTAATCTGAATATCACATAACATAAGAAATTTTATTCGGATAATCATATAGAATTCATTGAACACATAACATTCATGTGTTGTAGTGGTGCAATTTCCAATTATGGGATCACATGAAAGTTATGTGAAATTCACATGGATTTTTTCCACAGGTTATGTGATTTATTTTATGAGTGTAGGCTATCTGATGCCCAACCCAAACCCTCCCCCGCACTTTTTCCTTCCATAATTTGTGGATGACCCTTGCCACCAGTGGTGTCGCTCTATCCTCAATTTATCTGTTCAACAACTCTCAAAACGTTATTGCTTTAAATCGATAAAAATTAGTGAAACTAGAAGACCCTATGCATGTTGGAACCGATTTGAATATAGTTATGGCTCTAAACCACGTTTTCAAAGCTGTTGACCAGTGTGAGGTTACGAAACGCCGCTGCTACAAAGTCAATGATAGATGTCAATGTTTATCCGGATATTATTAAGATCGAGTGTTATAGTGGTAGCTTAGACGTTAATAACAAACCCAGTGGCAGGCGCGTAGGCAACATGTTATACCGTGACAGCGGGCCCAGCACAGCAAAATCCTGGGCCTGATCCTGATGAAATACCTCCATTTTTATTGAAAAAAATAGGAACTTGTTTTGTTAAACCATTGTTTTGGCTTCACAATTTATCTCTCAAATCAGGTGATTTTCCAAAAATTTGGAAGAAATCATTTTTAGTCCCAATATTTAAATCTGGCAAACGGTCTGACATTAAAAACTATAGAGGTATTGCAATTATGTCATGCATTCCTAGAATGTTTGAAGCAATTGTTAACCAAAAAATATTTAACCAGGTTAAGCATCGCATTTCAAATAATCAACATGGTTTTTTTAAAGGTCGGTCAACGTCTACTAATCTTTTGGAATTTGTGAACTTTTCTATTGAAGCAATGGATAGAGGTAATACCAGGGTTGTGAAAATATCAAAAGATCTAATCTCACCAATGTGCATAATCTCATTTGAGTATCGTAGACCAAAAACTCAACACGCAAATAACAGCCGATGATATTACAAGCTGTGATACGGTTGCTATGATATCATGCTAACAAAACTCCCCGGCTACAATTCTCACCAAACTGTGTTGAGTTTGTGCTTCAAGATTTTTGCTGTACATCCGAACACGAAACGAAACTTCCATCACTGCTGGCAGCAGTAACTTCGTGTCTGCCATCTGTGAAGCGTAAAGAAAGATAGCAAACTATGCTTTCTCTTTCTAAGAAAACGATGTGCAAAGGAATCAATTTTGTGGTAAGTCAACTCGTGGCTGCAATTTTACATGTTCTGAATAGTCTCGCAATATCAAAGGAGCTTGTAAAAACAATATCATGCTTGATATTTTATTCCAATATCATGCGTGATATTGGGAGCCCTTGAGAGCTAAACAAAATCATTTGAGTGAGAATTATGCCATCACTGGGTAATACGGTTGAAACCTTATACACGGATTTTAGTAAGGCCTTTGACAGAGTAGACATTCCCTTACTTCTTTTTAAATTAAAACGTTTAGGTATGACAAGTACACTTTTAAAATGGATTGGATCATACTTGTCAGAAAGAACACAGATGGTCCACTTTAAAGGAAAAATATCTTCGCCAGTTAATGTTACCTCGGGAGTTCCACAGGGATCTCATTTAGGTCCTTTATTATTTATTTTATTTGTGGATGACGTGAAGTTTGTGTTAAATCGTTTAAATGTGCTCATATATGCTGACGATATGAAACTGTACATGGAAATCTTTAACAATTCTGATTTGCTACATTTTCAAAACAAAATTGATGTTTTCTACAATTGGTGCGTTAAAAGTCTGCTGGACATTAATGTTAGAAAATGCAATATTATATCTTATTCCAGAAAACACACTACTCTAGATTTCACATGTACTCTAGAAAACCAGCTGGTTGTAAGGTGCGATAAAATTAGGGATTTCCGAGTAATTCTTGACTCGAAGTTGACATTTGTAGATCATGTGAATACCACAATTCACAAAGCAAATAATATGTTGGGATTCATAAAAAAAGATTTAGTTATCATTTTAAAGACCCATATACCATCAAAACACTTTATATAGCTTACGTGAGATCAATTCTCGAATATTGCAGTGTGGTTTGGGCTCTATACCATGAAACTTATATAAATCGTATAGAATCAGTTCAAAAACAGTTTGTGTTATTTGCTCATAGGAAACTCGGCTGGACCTCTTTTCCCCTTCCTTCTTATGAGTCCCGTTGCATGTTGATAAACATTGAAACACTTAAGAAACGAAGAGAAATGTCCATGGTTTCCTTTGTTAATGATATTATCTCACAACGCTTAAATTCAGAAAAAAATATTAGCAAGATTAAATTTTTACGTACCATCACGCATGTTAAGAACTCGAAATGTATTTCAACTGTCACCTCACAGAACCAATTAATAGAAGCATGAGAGTGTATAATAATTATTGTGAGCGTATAGATCTAACAATGCTTAAATATACAGTAAGAAAACACTAACTGCTAGGATTTCATCTCGTTAAGTTTAAAACAATTTTTTTTTTAGATATTTGTATATGCAGTCTGCATTTACTGACAATTTCCAATAAAACGTATGTTTTAAAATAGCATGTAAGGTAACAGCACTATTGTAAAACGGTCTACACTGATTGACGACAAATAAATAAAATAAAATAAAATAAATAAATTATTTGAGCCCGGGATATGCTGCCTACTGTCAAACGCTGCTGTTGGTATAGGCTAGGATGGGTCAATATGATCATTTTTATCAGAACAATGTTTTTTTGGTTCCATTTGGGGTCTAAAACAACTGTGCATAATTTGGAAACGATTGGTTGTAACCCGGGTTTCCGCATTGCGTTTGAGATTTGTATGGAAATTAGTATGGGAAAACCTACTTTTTTGCATCTTTATTTCTAGGGACCACAATTTTGCACAAACCACGCATCTAAATACGTTAAAGTATTGCCCAGGAAGTGCCTAACAACTTTGCTGAAGGATGTATGGTGCTAGAATGTATCTAAAAAAAAAGTAATAGCTATTCAAAGATCAATGGCCCGAATTAAATGCCAAAAATCCCTTTTTCTGCCAACACTGCCGGTGTACCAATGAAAGTCAGACTCGAAACTGAAATAACTTCGGAGTTTCTTATCTTATCGATTTGGTATGTTCAGATGAATTATTCAAAAACGATTTTTCAATCTCATAGGCATATTAAGAGATGAGGGGAAGCTAACTATACCCCCGCCCCTCACCCATTTAAATGGAAGTAAAGCTTCAAACTGCAATAAATCCGGTGTTTCTGATCTTGTCAAGTTGGTATCATATGTATTCACAAACATGTGCTCCATTTAATAGG